CGGGTCAGTCGTCGTCGAAGTTCGCGAAACTGACTATTCTTCCCCAAGTCACTGGTCTGCGACATATGCAGCGAATGCTGCCTTCTTCTCTGGCACCAATGCGCCAGTCGTCGCATTGTTGTCATCAAACCGATCAGGCCGCTTACAGTTTGCGCGCCTGATGGTCACCTCAGCAGCAGCTGTCACCTGGTCACGAATGTGGTGCCACAGGTCGCCCGCTGTGGCTATTCAGGTCACATCACACAGGCGTGCAGCCATCGCCTTCTCCAGCTCACTACGTTTCGCCACAGTACCGAGGATGTTACATTTACGTCGATTCACGGCGGGAGTTCAAAGCATAGATTTTCGAAAATATATGCACAGTTTGGTCCGTACCGATTGATGGTCAGTGTCACACTCAGCTCCACTCAGTACACGTGTCATGCGCACTTCACGCGTATCACGCTTATGTACGATGACATAGTCGAGCAGGTGAGCGTGACCACTCCGTGGGTGCGTCCAGTTTGCTATATCACTCGCACTCAGTGCAAACCGAGTGGCACACAGTGAGAGCAGCCTGTCACCGTTCGCATTCGCTGAACTAATGCCATGCGGACTGATTACATCTGTCCACACCGATTCATCACGCCCAACGCGCGCGTTGAAATCATTCAGCAGAAATAGTCGGTCGCTCCTCGGCACAGACCGTATGACGGAGGATAGCTGAGTGCAGAATTCATCGCGCGTATCATCAGGATGACACATAATCCTACTGCACGTGGCAAACTTACCTCTACCGATTTCTGGGCGAGAAGTTATCAGTGGCGCGTTGATGCCAGTCCACTTACCCACCATTGAGACGATCGGATAGTGCGAATCCGACCCCATGTTCACGTGGTGCTGAGGTGGCGTTTCCCACCCAATAGAGCATATAGCCAACACCAGCTTCATACAACTTACATTGCTCAGCGAGCCGCGTTTCACTGTGCTTTACAATATAAATGTTGTTTCGCGCCAGTTCCATCGCGACCAGCCCAATGTGTCACTCAGGGCGCTCACTCGAGTTTCGGTCCAGTAGTGTGCGCACGTTCCAGCACCTGACGTTGAGTGCTTTGCGCGCAGGTATACGATTGCATTGGTGCGCAATCGCACGCGAGGTAGCGGTTGTGCTTCGGAGGTTTGCTTGTGGGACTTCATCCGAAGCGTTTGGCTCCATAGCCTGACCCACAAGGCAGTAGGGAGCAGATCCAGCTCAGGAATGTGACTGCAGATATAGATTGAGATCTGCTTGAAGTTCGTCACACGCAGGCTTTGGGATACTCAAACCATTCATATGTGTTTTCGACTCTAATAAGATTCGCACCTGTGACCACGGCCAGACGCAAGTGGTTTTTGGCGAGTTTGCACCAATATGACCAGGGGCTTCCTGGCTTGAGGCGAGCAGTAGCAAACCACTGAACACCCGGAGGTGCCCCCCCCCCCACCGTCAGCCGCACTACGTGGCGCTCGTGCTCGGCGCCAGTCGAGCTGTGAGCTTATAACCCGTGAACTTGTTGTCTTTTATGGGCTGCTTTCGTTGCTAAAGGTGTCCATACTCCCGGGGGCTCATTATAAGGTTTCATCTTGTTCGCTTTACCATTCCCATCTCGTGTGTTTACATCTGATTATTCACCCTTCATCGGGGCATAAAAACGAATTCTTGGCTTGACTTGACGTGACAATGCTCTTCGATTTCAGTCTGCTCCGACGAACTAGTGTCACCATTGGACAACATACCAATGTAGTCATGAATACAACCATAGCCCTCACAGTCAGACAAGTGCTGTTCGTATATATATATATATATATATATATATATATATATATATATATATATATATATACTCTTTACTCTGTCCTGACATTTTGCCCTCAGAACCATCCCAACATTGCATACAATAAGCGTATGAAAGAAAACAAGAAAAAGATTGTTCTTTTTTGGTTTTACGCACGCTATTTTGCATTATTTTGTTTTTTATATATATCTAAATATGTACTTGAGATCAGACGATGGATAAAACTGCACAACACCACTGGCGTCATTGCAATCTATTTCGTGCCATCTCATCCAGCGTTTGCAAGCACAGGAATTCCGATTCACGCGCTCCGCAACCTGGTGTGGCGGGCTGATCCGACTGCAGCTAACCTTGAAGCTGCACTGTTCCTGCTTCTTTTCTACCTCATTGGTTGTTCACCACAAGACTTCTTCCAATCTCTTCCTTGATGTGGAAATAACGCTCACTGTGGAGGGCGATAGGATGGCATCTGTAGTATTTGACCGAGCCAACGCACTAAGCACTCATTTTCGAATCTCCGTATTGCTTATGTGTTGTTGCCACCACACACGAGCAATCCTTTGCAGACAATGGATGCCAAAAACTGGAAGTCGTCTCATATCTATGGATCGAACAGGTCAGGTCTCACGGTCGTACAGCAGGAGCTTACTCACGGAAGCATTGTACACCTTGCCTTTGAGCTTCAGGCGGACGTCATGACGACGTCATAGGTGTCCCAGTTTGATGAAAACAAACCGGGCTTTTACCATGCGCTGTGAAACCTCTTCTTCAACACCGCCACCAGCCGTGATCTGACTCCCTAAATAAGTGAAGCTGTTCACTGGTTCCAGCATATCATCAGCAATGGTGAGCACAGACGCAGGTCCCTGTTAATCCGGAAATACCACTTTACATTTAGCATCGGTGAAAGCCATATTCAGATGCTTTAAGTGTCAAGCGGTTCGAGGTGTTTTTGACGGTTTGCATATCATCACCCAGCAAAGCAATGTCATCAGTGTAGTTCAAGTCGACGGTTCTGCCGCCAGAGAGATACTCAGCACCGCAATTCGAGACACCTTCTAGTGCCGTTGCATGACATCTTCCACTGAAAATTGAAGAGGAAAGTGAAATAGGGCAATCTTGGCGAACGCCGCTGGTGACAGCAAACGAAGAAGAAAGTCTGCCTTAAGCCCTAGTTTTTCTGTGGATTCGTATCTATTGACTTATGCCCGTAAAATATCATAAGGTAGCAACGCCGCTAGTGCCTTGCAGTTGCTCTGTCCTTTCTACTTCGTTGCATTCGCCATTCGCCTACTTCGCTTACGTTGTCACACACTGGCACGCCATCCGAACCTTCAGTAGCGGATGGACATCGTACTGGAGAGTCCACAGCCGGCGAGCAAGTGGGCTCGTTCGAACTTGAAAGTGAACACACGGAGCCTCTCACCTTGGAACGCTTTATCGTCCTTGCTGGCTCGCGGCGTTTATCGATTTCCTCCTGTTGTATTTCACTCTGACACTGCTTGTAAAATACATGGGAATAATCATTTTTAATCTCACGTAAAGGCTTAAATTGCTCATTGGTAAGACCAGTACACGAAATATGGGAAATTCACGCATCACAAAAATACGAATAACTGCATTTGCTCGATATCCAACTTTTTTTCAGCAAGAACCGCATGTTGTTTGCTTTGTCATGACTACGACAAATATTAAGGAAAACTAAAGGCTCCATCTCTGGACGATAATTCACTGCATGTAAGCGATGCCAAAATGTAGATAAAACACGACTTTAAGCTAAATGAATCAAGAATCGCAAACAAGACCGAATTCAGTAATAAATAACACAAACAGGTGTGTTACTCAATCTAATTCACAAAGTTAACTGACCTGGCAGTGGAGCTTAAAATGTCGACGAGCGAGCGCTATCTGCCCGTCATAATGATGTTTACGATGATAAGGAGAGCTTTCTAATTTTGGTATGAAGATATCTAGATCACGCAGAGTGTCATTGGCTGATTGCTCTTTGGCCGTACAAAACGGAGCGTACTATTACTAGACACACCAATTCTTCTGGACACGGTTGTTAATGCTCAATACGCAAAAAACATTACCAACGTGCACGAGTCCGATTTTGACAGGCAGCCACTGTGGCGCCAGTCCATTTTCTTCTAAACTTTTACTTGTTTGATTCAGTATTAACCATTAGATGCTCGCCCCGTGCACCGATGCTAAAAACGACAATTATTTTAATCTCTTACTTTTGCTGTAGTTAAATCACCTATCTAATCAATAAAGCTATGCGCACTATGGCGCTCTATACTCATCTATTTTCCGCTAATCTGACAACACGCCACCTCCGTAGACGATTCATGCTTCGCTGAGCCCAGATGGTTTTTCACGAACACACGCTACATTGTTGGGTCATTTGACCACTTAAGTAGTTCAGCCACTCGGATAAGTGCATCTCTCCATCAATTTTCATTTTTAGGATATTTCCTGACACTGTTTTCATGGGCGTTGTGCGACAGTCTGAGCATGTTTGACATAATGAGTCCTCTTTGCTCACTTCACCGACGCGGTGAAATGACAGTTGTTTCGTTTGCTTTCTTCTGTCATAACTACCGTGCATGCAATAACTGGATACAGTTATGTGTGTTGGTTGTTTACTCGCGCGGTTGCTATTTCGTACTCGGTTTTTCCTCTACTGGTCCATTTTTAAACGTTTGCTTTCACTTCCTGATCACCGCCTGACTCTTCATCATTACGCTCATTATCAGATCTATTTGCATAGCGACCTCGAAATTCATCACTGGTTATTAACTGTGTTGTCTTCGTCATACTTAATCTCTTCTTGCGCTTGCACTTTCATCATCTACCATATCTCTGATGGTAGTTTTTTCCTGTGGACTCATGCCCGTGGTCATATTTGCACTTTCCCTCATTTGTTGCCTTTTCTCTTCCTGACGAGGCAGATCATAATCAGTACTCCGGATCCACCGCATTTCGCTGTCTCATTACACTGCGTCTTGATTCCACCACACTTTGACTCATTAACTGTCCCCATCTGTTTACGCCTTGATCCTCATCATCACAGTTTGCGCATAGGTTGGTATTACTTGCTTCTGCCAAATCCTCATTTATGTATGTGAGACCCCCCTTGTCTTCTATCATTTCCGTATGCATTTGTCTGTGTTCCCTTTGTAGGCCCTATTCCACGGTCGTTGTTTGGACGGCGGTCTCACATTATCCTTTTACAAACGCATCTTGGGTCGGAAGCTCACTTTGGAAGACTTGGGTCATACAGATCACGACTATTACCAATCGCTTGCATTCATCAGGTTGGTTAAATGCTCTCAGCACCATCATCATCATCATCAGTTATTACCATCCCATTTCCTCCCTTTTCGTCCATATGCCGCGTTTTCTCATGTACGATGTTTAGCTAGCATTTTCCCCTCTTACCACGGTAGTGTTCTAGTTCAATACCCGCCTGTCGAACTCTCTCCCCGGATTTTCCACTGGCTCACACCCAATGGACTTTGCACTTGTTAGCTCCAAACGTTGTAGTCGCTTCGGTCGCCGCGCACTGCTCAATCATCATACTAACCTGTTCGGTCGTAATCATGCGTACGTCCATACGCACACACTATTGACGCCGTGTGTGCACTGTGATCCATCTGTCTTTGTGCTGTGCTAGCGCCATCTTCGATTGAGTGTCTATTCTAACCGTTACTCATTCAATCCGGTCTCATTTCCCTCGATATGCGCCGGTCATGGAGCGCGCAAGGGGAGCAAATGCACCACAGATTTCCCGTATATTTCCGAATACCGTGCCAAGCAGATCCGTCATATACGTCCCGCGATCCTCTGTTTTCACTTCCTCACATGCGTTTCAATCAGTGGACCATAGTACTCTACCGTTTGCGTTCCATTTCGCACATACTCGATCCAAGACATCATTATCACTGAATTACGTGCTGTGGTTTAATTCACTACTTACTGCGCCGGCCGGTAGCCTAAAGGTAACGAGCTTGTCTTGTAATCTGACGGCGCGCGTTTGAGCCTGCGTAGGGGCAGGGCGACCCTCGCAGTATCCTTGGCCCACGTGCGACCGATAGTGGTTGCGCGGTAGCGAAGCGTCGGTATTATGTACTGGCGTACTCCTGATACCTGCTTTTGCGCCTACGCACTTGAACCACCGTAGCGCAGTGAAACGGGTTGCGTATTTATCCTACTCAAGCCATTACTTATTGCTGCCTTAGGACACCATGGTGGCTGATCTAACCTACTACTACTCGGGTGGTCGCCAAAAGGGTAAGACACTCGTTTTGTAATCCGGAGGTCACCGATTCTAATCTATGTATTCACGGGCGACCTCGCAGTAATCCTAGCCTGCGCACGACACACGGTGGTGAACAGCGATAGGCGTTTTGCCTACAGGTGTATTCCCACAATATTTGAATAGGTCCCCTTGAGTAATCAGTCAGGCCCAAGAGCTTTGTGCTGCTTCAAAGATTAGATTGCGCTTCCGATCTCGGCTTCGGTGTGAGGATCTGTTGTGGGGACAGGCTAAGCACCACCCGAGAAGAAGATTTCACGGGACGCTGTGCTGGATAGTTAAATTGAAACGCATAGTGCTCTACCCAGTGCTTCAGGCGTCTGTGTAGATTGCTACTTATCGTGCCGTCTAACCGATAGCGTGTGTGATTTGCAGCCGGTGACCTTGTTGAGGTGAAATAAACGGTGGAAGTTTCCAACCAATGCAATGGCTCAATCTCAGCAGCTCATTTTGACCATCAGAATGCACGTTAAGTACCGAATGCTTGCCTTCAGATGTTGTGAGGCTGATGTTGCATTCATGATGTTTCTTCACCGTGGTTGGGCTAAACCAACTTACACTTAAACTAGGTCATTTTAAGCTGGATAAATTTCATTCCACTTTATTTGGTTTGTTTTGCCTCCGTGTATAATCTTCTATTAACTTGCACGTGATGCTTACACCAATTGTGGTTATCTTCGTTAATTTTATTGTGTTTGGAGCATTCTCGATTAATTTCTGGACATTTTGTACTTATCGCGGATGCGTTGGTAACCAACTTACTTGATGTGCTAATTTAGGGAACATTTATGTCTGCATAGCCGTATACTTTAACAGATATATTTTATTTGATAATGTCATTCAAAGTGATTGGTTGTTGCTTGATATCCTTGGTGTGGCTGCACTCGATGTGCATGTTGTCAAGGTGCCTACCTGTCTACTACCCACTACCTCGTCCATACTGTCTCCAGGAGACAGTTGGTCGTCGCTGGGGGACGGGGTGCACGGTCCTTGTGCTCATGCTAGGCTCGAAGAGTGGTTCCATCCTGTGTGGAACGGACTACGTTGTGTACGTCTAATGTGCATGATTTCCCAGTTAAGCTGGTATGCTTCTGTTCTGCTTGTTAAAGTAGGGCCAGCCGGCTCCGTTGATGAAACGTGGCTCCCATCCACATTCCTCCCGGTCTTATTCCTTCGGGTTTACGCTGGATATTGGGTGTGTTGTTGCAACTGTGGGTGGTGCAGCGCGATGCATCCATGGTCCTTCTGTAGGCGCAGGCGTCCTGTGGCTGGCCACAGGTGAAACCGGATGCCGCCAACCATGTATTGGAAACAATCTAACACATAGACGTAGATCCAAACAAAACCATGGAAATCATAAGAATACAGGCTTAATCACCATACCATCATCACGGCGCATTAGCTGAACTTGCGCAACACGCTTCAGCCATTGTGCCGTAAGAAGAACGGAACTGCTTTTTGTTATTTTTTCACACGTCATTTTTTAATTATTTTTGTCGTTTTCAATTGTTAAGCATTAGACATCTGAATCTAAACAAGTATGTACACAAATCTTCCACTGGTTTCGACTACGCGCCATATCTTGCAATGTTTCTAGCCATCGGCACTCTTCATCCTTTGGTCCCCAACCAGGCAGGCGTGTGGATCCAACGGCAGCAAGACGTGAAGTCAACGATTTCATATGCTGACGCCAATTGGACGGCTGACCACCACGCGGTCTCGTCTAGCCAAACGCGAGCGAAAAGGACGCAGTAGGACAAACGCTCGGTTGACATACACAAAACGTGACCGAGCCATCTTAGCTAACGCAGCGAATCCAGCTTGTTGAGGGCATACTCGCATCCCCTAGGACACGACGTCGGACTTCACTATTGGACATACCTTGCTGCCACCACACACGAGCAATCCTCCTCAAGCGCCCATTGTCAAAAGCAGAGAGTCGGCGCAAGTCATCTACGCGAACTGGCCACGACTCACTTCCATATAGCAACACCACCCGAACAGTGGCAGTGTACATGCGACGCTTTACGAATAGGGAGACATCCGACGATGCCACTAGTGTTTCAAGTTGAAGAACGCTGACGGAGCTTTGGCGATACAGGGACAAACTTTCTTCTAAATAGAGCCACCAGCAGATACGCAGCTGCCAAGGTAAACAGCGATCTACTTGTCCAAGTTGTGTGCCATCAAGAGTGAGCACGGGAACGGGCGAGTGCCGATCCTGGAGCAGAACTTTACACTTCGGTGGGTCGAAACACAGACCGAGCATAGATGCCTCAATCGCCAAACGGTCTAGAATGGTTTGCATGCTCTGTGAGTCCTCATTAAGTAAGGCGATATCATCGGCATACTCTAAGTCGCTTGGTCGCTTGCCCGGTAATAGCTATGTACCGAAATTTTAGTAACCGTCTAGAGCTCTCGACAGGACCTTTTCAATGTCAAAGTTAAGGTGATAAGGGGACAAAGGGCAGCCCTGTCGTACACCGCTATTGATAGCAAATGACGACGAAAGCTTGCCATAGGCACTCACTCTGCCGGAGATGTGGAGGTAGAGCGCGCGTAGGATGGTTGTGTACTTTTCTGGAACCCCGTTCCTTAACAAGCAACGCCACAGCACAAGTCGATCAACCGAATCAAATGCAGCGCGGATGTCTAAGAATGTTACCATAGTAGGCCTTTGGTAGAGGTGGCGTTGTTCGAAGGTTTGGCGAAGCGTAAATATTTGATCCATGCACCCTCGACTAGGACGGAAACCATCTTGTTCTTCCCAATACTGTGGTTCACGAATGGCAGAAAGTCTACGGAGTAGAATGGACTCGAAAAGCTTGGAAACAACCGAAATGAGACTAATCCCCTAGTGATTGGTGCATAAATGGCGAACACCCTTCTTATAGATCGGGACAATAGCTGACTCGCCCCAGGAAGAATGATCCTTTTCTTCGTGCCAAATTTTGGGGAACGAGTTGGTTAACTGGCTGATGGTAACTGTGCCTCCAAACTTGAACAGCTCCGGAGGAAGTCCGTCTGCGCCGGCAGCCTTAAATCGTCTCAGATGTCGAATGGCAACACAAACTTCCCATTTACTAGACGGATCAAGGGCTAGTGGCTTTGTTCACACCGGATAAAAATGGACGATAAGGGCCAATTGAACTGGGAATGAACATGCTCGGCCCATCTATCCAAGCGTCTCTGTAAGTTGATAATCGGCGAATCATCCGCTTCACAAATAGTTTTGATTGATGCCAAGCTATTTTTGGCTAGTGGATCAAATGAGGTGAAAGAGCTTTCAAGTATTGCCAGACAGATCAGCGGCCTCCATTTCCGAAGCGCGCTGTGGTAGACCGACGGAGTTCGTCATACTGCCCACTAGCGGGCACAGCTCGTCGACGAGCTAGCGATTCCGAGGATCTTGCCAATATCCAGCTTTTGGTTGTGCAGCGGGTGAGGCCGCAGCTAGATAAACCATCGAACAGCATGGCTCGTCGCAGACCTGACCAGTGTTGGTCAACATACAGAGTATGAGAAGGAAAGCGATTTTCACGAAGCCTCTATTGGTACTCGGTTTTCACCATTGGGTCTTCTTACTTGTAGCTGTTCAGTGGTGTTTGTTTGGCTATAGTGAGCCACCGAAACACATGCAAACTACCGCACACGTTAATGCATGTTCGGCTTCAAGACAAGTTGGCAAAAATGATCGGTAGTTGCAAACGCTGCCACACCACCTGCGACTTATGGCTGTGATCAGTTTGTGAACAGCGCTGCGTTGACAATGGAGGACGCTACTTGGCAGAGTGGCGTCCAGGGTGACCAAAGCTTATACTGTAGAGGGAGCTTTGATGCCAACACAGACTGAGCAATTTCTGTCTGTTGTCAGAGTTAATGCCATCATATCCATGTGGTCCCCCAAGGTGACGTTCACATAGAAGCAACCAACAGACACATAACTTGGAGTCTCCTGCCATGACAATAATGGCTGTTTTAGGCGCCCTTAGGAGCAGC